ACGTAATTCTTGTTTTCTTGTCACTTCACATGTTTTTTATTGGACTTTCTTCTGAAAACCGCCCACCTATACAATTCAACTCTACAATTTTTATTTCCAACATTCACGCCAAGTTTTTGACTAATTTATCTTTAGTCATTGGGTTTTGCAAGCGATTATATCTACTTGAATGAGAGCCTATAAGTTCATATCTTACCTTTTAGTTCGCATTTGATTACTCTTCTCTACAATATTAAAAAAAAAGACATTGAGAATAAAAAATATATTTAGTTTAAAAAAAAAGACATTGAGAATAAAAAATCTATTTAGTAGTTAGAAAAATAAAAATAAATATAAATATAATCCTTTATATTGTTTGGAATTAAGTTGGAAGGAATTAAAAACAAAATAACAAGCAAGACAGTTGATATGGCTTTCAGGTCACTAACCATTTCTCCCTCACCCAAATGTTTGACTCCAAGGGTTTGATTGCTTCATGGCAATTTCCATGAGTTTCTGGCAAGATTGTTGGGGCCTAATTTCAAATAATTAATTAGTAAGCCATGTGAAATGAAATCACAAGCAGCAGACAGCCGCAAAGATCCACATTACCAGGGATTTCAAGCCCCCCCCTTTTTTTCTATCTAAATCCCAACGTGACTAACAAATGACATCATTTACGTAGAACTAATTTCAATCACATGTGAAGGTGGGGATCGCTCAGTGTTCTGCGATCGATCTGAATGGACTAGTAATTCTATATTTAATAACAACTAGAGTTTCTCAATCCTTCACTTCTCGACAAATTAACAGATCGTCGGATAATATTTTTCAACTTTTGATTAGTTAATTTTGTTATTCTCACATGTATATGTGATGTGGTGTTCAAAAACCAAATTTCCTGGCTGAGCTTGACTATTAGACAGGCAAGGAATGGCCCTGTGATGTGTCTGAGGACCAAGACTTACATGTCTTGAGCCCATTTCTTCAACACAAACACATCATGTGTGGAGCAATGTTTCATGCGTGAATGAAAGCTATAGCTTAATTGCAACTGTCTTCTTTTAGGGATTCCTTGTTTCAAGCAATCTTTGCCAGAGGAAGCATGTGATGTTTTTGAGATTATTTAGCTAGCTAAGAGCTCAACCAAAATTCAGGCATCCAACCCCATTCGAGGGGTGTGTGTGTCATAAAACGTAATAACTTCTTTCGGACCAGATAAGCCACGAAACTTAATTGTCTAAATATATCTAGTTAGTTAGTTTGGCATCTAGCTAGCTTAATTATCTAGCTCCTTGACCCTCCTCATATACACAACGATATACTCTTTTGGCATCTTATCAGATACATCAAATTAAAAAGTAACACTGTTATGATGAAAGAAAACACAAAAGTGATTCGTTGGCATTAACTGGCAGAACTTCATCTTGAAATTGATCTTATGCTAGCTGAATGTCGGGTAATCCATGAGCCACAGACCTGCTATATATGAAGACAACACTTCGGTTCTGGATACTATTGGCTCCTATTCATTTCCATTAAAATCAATATATTAATCCAAGATGGAATAACTTAGGGCTGATCAAAAGAGAATATATAGCTGGTTAACTTGGGCATGCGCAGATCAATGAACATTCAATTGGCGTGATTTCAAACAACTTATAGTGACTAGTAACTTTCCTTGAATTAATGGAGAGGGGCCAACCTAGGTCATAGTCTTTCACATGGGTTTTCTTCTTGTACTGTCTAGGATTACTATATGCATTGACAGTTGATCATGAGAGATCAAAGTACACACAGTCTTTACTTCACTTATGGTCCCAGAACTTTTAAAGGCTTGTTCAATTCCGTCCCCCGCAGGAAGGCAACATAAGGCTAGTGATAGATATGCATGAGAGACCGTTGAGGCGCAGACACCATAAACAAGCAGTTTGGAAAACTCAAACCACACCGAACATCCAAACCTTAAGAATTTTTTATAAAAAATCCTTAATTATTAAGCCATACCATTTGCCTTTCACAATTTTCTCACCATCTCTTGACCATGATTAGATTATGGATGCAATAGATGGGAGCACTAAAACTGAACTGGCCATCAGGTTTAAACTGATCAGTTTTTTCCCTTCTAAAATTAACTAGGCCTGTTTTGATTTAATTGAGCTTTTTTTATTGGGCTTGGGTTCTTATTAGCTTGTTTTGGTTGTTTTGGACAATTATCTAAGATGTTTTGGTCTTTTTCTTTGCGGGCCTGGCTTGTGATTTTTTTATATAAATTTTTCATTAAAAAAAAAATTATTACATATAATGCTAAAAAAAACTAAGGACTGAATTGAATATATAGCAAAGTTTATTTAAGGACTTTATTGAAATTCTTAAAAAATAAAGACCGAATCGAACTTTAACTATATTCTTCAACCCATTCCTTCTACCAGCCTTGCCACTGCATGTCGATGCTATCTTTTCTCTGCTAATATTGCAGTCCTTGTTGATGCTAATGGAGATCTTCTGGCCACAAAAAAACAAAAAAAAAAGAGCAATGGTGGTGGAGCTAGTTTTGGATTCAAATGATGTTCATGTCGACAGGCAAACCATTTTTCCCCAGCAAGTTACCTTATCCTGTTATCCGCAAACCCTAAAACAAAATCCTGCTGAGTAATCATAAAATTAAATCCTACTCTCTTCAGAAATTCTATAATAAACTTCAATAATTGGATTTTTTGTGGATTTTGTAGTCACTCAGATTTACCAAATCGAAAAATATAGTGATAATGGGATTGGCATCCCTGAACAGTCAGATGTTTCATATAGTCATTAATGGCTGCCAAAAAGTAAGAACGCAAGGACTTGGAATTTCTGCCTCCTACAGAAGCCCAAACACAGACGGTATTCATGTGGAAGAAAATAGAGAATATATATATATATATATATATATATATTAGTGGGAAGAGTATACTAGAATGCCTAAAAAATTATTTAAAATTGATTATAAAATATCAAATATACAAGATTAAAAATTTTAACTTTGTATTTTTTACTGAAAAAAGCTCTATTAGCAAAGAAAATTTAATTTGATGAGAAATTTTAAAAATTAGATGCTTGAGAATTCAATTAGAATTTTTCAAGGTCTATTTGAATTTATTAAGGTCTTGGTTACATAAGACATTGATTTTTAAAGTTAATTTAGGTTTTAATTAGAAGAAATTAAAGTTTGGGGGTTCAATTGCAATTCTTAAGAGTTAATTTGGTGAAATTAGGGGTTTAATTGCATAAATATTTAAGTTTGATAGGAAAGTAAGGACTTGATTGAAGAAATCCAAAATCAAGGATCAAACTTGAAAAGGCGCATGAATATAGGAGCTGAAATTGACCAAATCAGGGGTTAAATTGAAAAAATTAAAAATTTATTGGTCAATTAAGAGTTAAAATGCATAAATTTAAAACCAAGAATTAAAATAAAAAAGATATCCAACTTAGGGGCTAATAATAAAGTTTGATAGGGGTGACATGGTATAAAATTTTAAAAAAAAATCAATTAAGGGTGCATATACTATAATTATAAGAATAGGGACCAAATTAAAACTTTATCAAATTCTAAATTAAATACCGTAATTTTTAGGATTTAACCTAAACGACATGTCATTCAACCTCTAGTTATCTTCTTTTTTAATAGTTTACGATGATCAGGTTGGTATCTTTAAAGAGAACACTCTGAAGTTTAAAACCTCAAAATAGGATATAATCTAATCGCGTCTTTTTCAAAAAGGTTATAAATTGTAAATTTTTTTAATTTAATTTCTGATCCTAAAATTTATACAAAGTAAATTGTTTATTATGCATATTGAACCAAAAATAAATACAGATAAATAGATTTATATGGTTTCCAAAACCGGGTGTGTGTAAATCCAAAATCAAGGATCAAACTTGAAAAGACACATGAATATAGGAGCTGAAATTGATCAAATCAGGAGTTAAATTGTGTATGTATATATATATATATATATTTATGGGATAAAATAAACTAAATTTAAATAATTCACCTATATATGTTTATGGCATGTATAATTGCTAATCCTGCTCACAGCTCGTGATTGCAATTAGAGGCCTAGCTTGAAAAAATACCTTGTATAATTGCTAATCCTGCTCAGAGCTGGTGATTGCAATTAGAGGCCTAGCTTGAAAAAATACCTTGCAACATCCATTAATGGGCATTTACGAGCAAGTCAAAAGGATTTGGTTGAGATATCTTAGAACTTTAAGGATACAATTGAGGAAAGGCCTTTCGTTTTGGGATTAATTGAAAACTTCTAGGTAGTTGAATGGCCATCTTAAGGTATGCCAAGAAGAAGTAAGAAAAAAAAATAAAAAACCATCCTTATGTCGGGCTGGCTGAGTTTTATCGCTGTATTTTCATCTTATTTGTTTATATAGTTACCTTGTGGTTTTTAAGATTTTTTAATTTTAAAATAATTTTTTATATTTTTTAATTATTTTAATATATGAATATTAAAAATTAAAAAAATATTATTTTAATATATTTTTTGAAAAAACCAACAATATAATATAAAAAAAATTAAGTTGTCACTATAACAATTAAATCATTGAAGTAACTTTAAAAATTATAGTTTAATTAGTTAAATTTTAGATTTGTTTTTAAAAATTTATTAATTTAAATCTTATAAATTTTAAAATTATTAAAAATTTATATAATTATTAATTTTAGAATATATAAAATTAATCAAAATAATACTAACTTAAAAATCTCATGTTATTAAAAAGAAAAATCATTAGAGTTTGTACTTGGTACCTCCATGACAGCAGAACCAAAGAAGATACTTTAAGGATGCAATTGAGGAAAGGCCTTTCGTTCTGGGCTTAATTGAAAACTTCTCCTTCTGCCGGGTTGGTTTCATTATTATGCTTTTATCCTTTGCTTACACAACCATGTCGTGGTGTTCTTAAGAAAAATTAATTTTTGATATTTTTAAGTTATTTTGATACAATATATATAGGAGACGAAAATTCCAGAAACCACCTTTGAAGCATAAAGAGAAAAGGAGTTAAGCTGTCACCGTGAAAATCCTCCCAACAAGTCGAGTAAATCATCGGAGTGCTCACCTCACCTGTACCCGGTACCTCTATGGCAGCAGAACCAAAGAAGATCATCATAGACACTGACCCTGGTGTTGGTATGTAATTATTTTATGTATCCCTTTCTTTCTTTTCAACTCCTCTAATTCTCAACTCTTTTTTTTTTTTATTTAATTTCTTAACATCTAGACCTCTAAATATTGATGGATTTCCCTTGAGTTTAGAGTCCAGTAATGAGTTACATTATCAAGTTTAATTACACGTGTTTTATATCAATCTCTCTTTTTGTTGTTGTGGGGTTATGTTTTTGGTTGTTGAGAAAGTGGATCAATTGAAAGGAAATTGAAATTCTGGATCTTTAGACTTTTTCATGATCTGGGATTTGAGAAAGTTGATATCTTTTGCTAAAAAAGAGTTGTTATTTCAATTGGTTCTGCCTCGAATTTGTCTTCTTATTGTAAAGATTTGAACTTTTGATGCGATGCAGATGACGCCATGGCAATCTTTCTTGCTTTGAGATCACCTGAAGTTGAGGTGATTGGGCTTACAACTATATATGGGAATGTTTATACCACTTTAGCCACCAGGAATGCCTTGCATTTGGTAATTCTTTCTCTTTCTAGATTTGAAATTTGATTAACTGATTTGAACCTCCAAGGTTTATGATATAATTGATATTGAGCCATTTGCAAATTACAGTATTTCTCTGTGTGTTGTTTGTGGATTAGTTGGAGGTTGCAGGGAGGACTGATATTCCAGTTGCCGAGGGATCTCATGTCACAATAACTGTATGTACTCATTCTTCATTGTTGAATAGATTATGTGCAATGTTAGCTTCTTTTCAGAATTTTTTTAATCCTTATCTTCTGTTAGTTTCATATAAGCATTGTGTCTGCTTTGGTGAGGGAAGAAGTGTGGTTTGACTCTTTATGGTTGTTGTTTTCTAAGGACAAGCTTGTGTTAATGGATTTAGTGTCTACTCATGGAGCCGCTAGTTTTCTGATATTGCGACAAGTCTTTTACCATTTATTTTCAACTTCTGCTCTTTTGGTTTTAACTATGAATTTCACACGCAATATCACAATTTTCTCTGATCAAATGATGATGTAAAGATACATACTGATATGTGGCTGAGTTTCAAGAATTCTTTTTATTCATTGCTTCTCTGTTTCCTGTAAAGAAAGGTACAAAACTTCGCATTGCAGATTTTGTCCATGGTGCTGATGGACTTGGCAACCAGAATTTTGACCCACCTAAAGGAAAGCCAGTTGAACAGTCAGCAGCTGCTTTTCTGGTTGAGCAAGCAAAACTTCACCCTGGAAAAGTCACTGTGGTGGCATTGGGTCCACTTACAAATATTGCTCTGGTCAGATTCTTAGTCCTTTCGAATTCTTTAGCAGATTTCATGTAGTATATTACCTAACAGATCATCTATATTGTGCAGGCTATTGAATTAGATCCTGAGTTCTGCAAAAATATCAGGCAGATTGTTCTTCTTGGTGGAGCATTTTCAGTAAACGGGAATGTAAATCCAGCAGCTGAGGCAAATGTGAGTTGCACAAATCCATGCAGTCAGTCCGCTGTTGCAGTGGTCTTTGCTTTCTAGATATTGCTGTTTTAGTGGCCATATGCACATCTGAGCTCTGCTGTTTCTTCTTTTATTTTAATTTTCTTTATGGGATTTGTTATGTGAACTTACATTTCATCTGCTCTTTTCTAGAAAGATCCTTACATCTTGATTTAAGACTTGAGAGAGTGTCATTAGAATGTTTAGAAGCATAGTTTGTCGGTTAGCTGTATCACTCCTGCTAATGATTATGTGTGCACATATCCTAGTCTGCTCCCCTAATCCCCCATCTCTTTATCTAACTTTCTTACTCCTGACTGGATGACTAGATATTTGGCGATCCTGATGCTGCTGATATTGTTTTCACCTGTGGAGCAGATATTTTGGCTGTGGGGATAAATGTTACCCATCAAGTTGCTCTCACAGGTGTTACTTCAGCAATTATTGTGTTACCTTAGCTGATATTCTTTTTTTCTTTTTTCTTTTTTATGCATAAATAATCTTGGCAATCAAGACACTAAAAACACTAATACCGTTTCTTAAACACGTTTATTTGTGTTACTTGTTATGCAAGAGGCAATGGTTTCTTTTACACAATTCTCTGCGAGTGTGACTTAATTTGTGCCCTTTAAAAACACCCTCATTGATGATTTCTAGTTTCATTGATTTTGTTCCCTGTTTTATTTGCAGATGCTGAGCGAGACAAATTGATACAGTCAAATGGAAAATTTGCTCAGTACCTGTCCAAAATTTTAGAGGTGTACCTCTCCTATCATCAAGAAGCATACAGCATGAGAGGTTTGTTTACTAAAATGCCTTCATTGATATATCCAGTGATTAAGTAGAATTGGAATCCTCAAAAATACTAATCCTTGGTTCTGTTATTGATGTAGGAGTGTATCTTCATGATCCAACAGCACTCCTTGCAGCCGTGAATCCTTCACTTTTCACTTACACTGAAGGTGCTGTTAGAGTCCAGACAAATGGCATCACAAGGGGACTAACATTATTATATAACAAACAGAAAAGGTAAGACCGCATGAGTACTTGAAATCATTAACTTAGTCGAACTAAATGCCTTTCTGATGATTTTTGTTTTCTTTTTCTTACTAAAAACCAGGTTTGGAGAAGTGACTGAATGGACTGATAAACCCACAGTTAAGGTGGCCATGACGGTTGATGCTCCCACTGTTGTCAAGTTGTTGATGGAAAGGCTTATGGAATCATAAACTGTGGACATATATTGATGATATGATTGTGTGGTTCTTCAAATTCCAAAAATTTAAAATAACATTTGGAGTCACGGCAACGAGCTGAACTAATGGTTTATTGTTGTTGTAGTTGTCATCACTGTATCGTTTTGTACTCAGCTATTGATTCCAATTTAAGTACTGCATTTATTTATTTATTTTTGAGGGGGGTGGGGCACAAGGCTGTGTATCTCATGAACAAATTTTGAACCCCGACTTGGATTTTGAAGCTCAACTAGCCAGGAGACGTGTGGATCTAATAGGTGAACCCATCAGTTGAACTCATTTACTTGTGTGTGTGAGCTCATGGTGCGCTAGACTCTGAGAGACTGAACTGGTCAGGACAATTTTTGCAAGTGAATGTTTAGTCCTCTTTGGTGATATCCTGTCCATTTGGGACCGTAACGGACTCTGAATCAAAAACCTTATATATACACGTGCGCTCCAATGCATAAGACCCTCCCTTTTCAAGGCATCTCGTACTCTGCTCTTCTCTACTACTAAAGCAGGGCATCACGTAATTCTTTCCTTCACCTTCCTTTTCTCTTTACATTTCTTCACTCACTCACCTGGAGAGTGACAAAGAAAACCCAAAATGGGTTCATTGGTGAAAGGAGTGATAATCCATGAGTCACTTCTAATTCAAGATCATGCCACCACCTCTTTCCACCCTCCAGCTCACTCTCTCCTCCGCAAGCTCTGCCATTCCAACTCCACATTGGAATCTCTTACTCACCTTATCTCCCTGACGATAAGGTTTTCCCGATGATCCTTTTATAGTTCTAGTTTGTTTTCGATGAGATGGTTGTTTCAAAGAACTATTTCTTATCTGCTTTTTGCTATTGGTGGGAGTACTTGAAGAAAAATGGCAATGCAATACTCCTCTGATTGTTTTCCCTTGATTGATGAATCATCTATTGGCGGTGTTAATGAGATTACACTCTCCTGGGGTGACATTGGAGGGGAAATTTTGTATTGGTCAATTAAGCAATTTGGGTTGGATCATTGTTGTTTTTGGTGAGTTTTGCTGGTACCGTTTTGTTATTTCTAGGTATTGCTGACTTTGGTTTAGTAGCTGATGTCTGTGGATTCCCTTTTGTATCTTGTCTATAAGGTTTCAAGTTTAATTTTTTGAAGCTGGGTTCTTGTTCTTTTTCTCCTTTCTTTTAGATGTTGAAGGTGCTGGTGCATGTGAGAATTCAGGTGTGGTTTGTATCAGTAAACTGGAAGAGTTGCCTTTGGTAATCTGTGGTTTAAATAGAAAAAGGTTAGTATGAAATGAATGATTTTTATTCAAGTAGCAAATCCATTTCTACAATTATTTACAATGACAATTTTATTTCTTTATTACAATGTTCTCTAACTTTTCTGCGAAGTGCATTCAGGCAATTGGCGACAAAGCTGTGACTGTTGGTTATATCATGAAGCCTTCTCGAGAAGAAGATTTTTCCAAGGTGAGCTCTCAACAGAGAAATTGGAAGTTTTACTGATATTAGAGAAAGACTTGCGTCTTGGATCGCAGATATTTTCCAGATACGCAAAGAATTCAATGTGATGCTGCGTTATCCTGATTAAACTCCTGAATTGCTATTGAGAATTGATTCATTCTATTTTCTAGATCTAGATTTCAATCTGACTCAGCTCTTTGTTGATTTTGTTTTAAAAATTCAGGGAAATTGTTAGGTTGTCTTATTTATTATGCATCCTCCACGTGGCATGTCTCTATCTTTACCCATGTATAAACTCGAGTGGCGACATATGTCTATAATTGCAAGCTTATTATTGCTTATTCTTTGTCGTTGTTGCATAGGGGGTGCACGAATTAGACGTGAGAAAAAAATTAAAAAATTGAGAAAATTAAAAAAAAATTGAAAAAATTGAACTGTAAAAAAAAATCAATTAAATTGGTTAAAATTTTTAAAAAACCGATCAGTTCAGTTTTGTTTTGGTTTTATAAACCTGAAACTGAAAAAATCAAACCGAACTAGACCAAACCCAAACAGAAAAAATCGAGCCAAATCAGGAAAAACCAAGCTAAATCAGTTTGAACCGATTTTAAAAAAAAAACCAAACTAGATAGGTTTGAACAAATTTCAGTTCGGTTTTAGTTTTTTTATAAATTGATTTTATTACTTTCTTTTAATAAAAATTCAACTAAACTGAAAATGAAAATGATTACCCCTACCATAAACCCTACTCCAAATGGTTTGATGTTTCCACCCCTCACATTTGAGCCCCCTCTACCATCTCAATTACAACTCGTTGATTGATTTAGTTATGGTTATCTCAGTTGCCTTGAGCAGTCTTTAGAATTCACAAACAGAATTACTTTCTCTCCAGGCATGCAGGAATTGCAAAGGTAGTTTCAAATTCTTGTTTACACAGTATTATGGTGAGGATAAATCAACATGTTGCAAAATATATTTGGGTCCCCTTCTTATACAGATATATGGAACATCATTCTGAATGTTTTGCAATTGATGCACTTGATAAAATATATCCTGAATTGGATCGGCTAAAAGTCCAAAAAATTGTTCTTGAGCTGGATGATCTCAACAAAGAAGGTCGCCGGGCAGTAAGAGGACCCCATTTCCTAATGGTCTTTTGATCGGAATGTATTTATTTTAAATAGTAAACTGAAACACAAATCATTGGACACAACCTGAAATGAATAGTTTTCTTGTCACTGCAAAATTAATATGTTTTTTGGTGTTGTTCGTTGTTTAAGCATATGTTGCTTGGGTGTTTTTCCTGTTGGAACCCATTTTCATGATGCACATGAAGACATCATTCACGCATATTCTCTTGAACATTTCACTGTTTTATCCTCAAATTTAGTTACAGCCAGAGTTCAAATATGTAGGTAAATGGTTTTAACCACCCTGATTTGGCACAAAGTCAGTTTGAATCTAAACTATCTCTTCTGAGTATACTGAAACCTTAAGTTTCCTGTGGAGTAGCTGATGCTTACAGTATGGTAAGAATTTGATTGATTGCATATGATCCAAAATGTTAATCAGGATTTCATCTCTTTAATGCAACAGGGATTATGTAAACTCGGTTGTTTCTGTGGTCGCTAAGCTAGCTCCTTAAGTATTATATCTCAACTTTACATGTATTTTCTCCAATTTTAGGTGCTATACCTGTCAGGTAAGATTTGTTCATCATTGTAAAGTTGGATGCTTAGAGCTGCTATCAATTTTGAATATAGAGTAAGTATCGTGGTCTGCACCAGCTGTCTGGATAGGCATCCTCGGTTACTGATCAGTCCGAGATTTGGAACTGACCGAACTGCCTAGCTCCATCATTCGGGTTTACCAGGGCACATTATTACATTTCTGACATTTTGGACGTTGTTTGTGGTTCTTTACTAGGGGAATATAGTGATTTTTAGTGGAATTCTTAAAAAAAAGATGATTCTCTCATCACAGGCAATCATCTTTAGAGTTGAAGATTTTAAAGATATAAATATTCCTCTTCCAGCAATTGTTCAGGTGAGCACAAAAGTACCGTGCCAAGTTTGGTTTGATTTTTTGGTATTGTATTCTGGCACTACAGATGTATGAATCAATGAACGTTCACTGATTGTGTATGCTAAACTGGAAACAGCTGAACAATGATCAGTGTTTGTATTCCTGATTGTGAACATTTTTTTTTTGTTGGCATTGCAGGAGCACGCGGACCATTCATCTAATATATTCATGATTTATGTCTTGGGTGAGCGACTTTTATATGCGGTAAAAAATTCTATACCAAATGTTAATGTCTTGACCAAATAATCTGAAATGAACTCGGACCTTTACTCTTTGACAGGTAGCAGGTGGTTTCTTTATTTGCTTTCTGCTTACTTGCATTATGACAATGTCATATGTTTTTCAATTTTGATAATGTTGCGCTTAACCTCTGCAGCTTAAAGTCTCTACCCATCAGTACTGAGCACTATACAGATGCAGATTCCTTCAAGACCAATATTCATTCTTTTGATCTTGAGCTGGTCACTGATGCTGCGAAGTGGCTTGCAAGAAAACTTGATCTTACCATCTTTGGCTTCGATGTAGTTGCAAGTAATGTTTTCTTGTCTACATATATCTTTTGCAGTCTCCACCTTTTACCGGTCAAAGGCCTGATTAATCTTTTGATGATCTATCTTGTTTATTTGATGAGTGGTTTCTCATGGTAGAAACCGAAGATGCTTAATGAGAAAATATCACTGAGAAATGCTTCTCTGTTCTTGTAGTAGATTGGCATCCACCATTCCTACTGGATCCAATTTTGCTAGGTGTCCTTGTTCTTGATATTCCTGTTGTTTGGTCTCTCGAGTCTATTCTCTTCGGTTACATCCTTTTCCAGGCTGCATCATGAGAAGCCAACTGCATTCTGGAATATAAGTTACAATCAATCTATTACAGACCCCGACCCCGACCCTTTCAGTGCGATATATAACTTGTAGATGCATCTGTGTAATTTAGCAGCAACTTCAACCGCTACATCATCTTTGTAGCTGAGTCGAGTCTATTATATTTCTGAACGTGCATGCAAATCTACTTCCTCTCATATCTTGCCAGAACGTGCATGCAAATCTACTTCCTCTCATCTCTTGCCATTGTTGCATGTTTTGCTGGGGCTGAAAAGAATTCAGATTCAGGAAGGCACTGGTGACCATGTGACTGTGGATGTGAATTACCCCCATCGCTCAAGGAAGTACACGATGACATTGCTGTACTGGCCATTTGGCATGCTATATAGACAGAAGTTCGAGTCAAAGTAGAGGAAATAGAAAGCCATGCTCGTGTGCCGGAAGCTGAGCTGTGGTCTTTCCTTTAGCCGAATAAGATCATGTACCAAGAGAATAACTGGAAATTAAACCGCCAGAGCTAATGAACTGTAGTTGATGTAGAAAAACATTTAAATCCATGTAAAGTCGTCCTGCTCACTGGCTTTTTAAAATCGGGCAGTACTCAAGTTAAGAACCCTTACAGCCATCCCTACCACGCATGCATAGACCCCACAAGACATGGATGGACCAGCCCGCCACTAACTATCATTGTCAAGAAAGGAATGATGATGATCGTGGTCATGGTTATCATTTTATAAAAGATAAGGCTAAATACAAAGTTCAGGCACCCACCCTTAATCCATTTTAGGGATCTTCCCACACAAGATGAAAACATAAGGACAATGGCCACTTCACCATCCTCTCCACAAAAACAAGAAATGGACATGGAGCAACCTTGGCTTGACTCAGGGGATAAGTGTTTTAAAAATATTTTTTCTTTAAAAATAAATTAAAATATTTTTTTTCTAATCTTTATTTATTTTTAATATCAATAACTAAAAAAAACTAAGAAATATTAATTTAATATTTTTTAAAATAAATATATTTTTAAAACGTATTCAAATACAATTTAAAACATGTGAAAATATTAACAAATAAAATAAAAAATAATAGGAAAGAAAAAATAAATAACATAAATTGGGTCAGCATTTGATGGATATTTTACGCGGAAACCTCAAAAATTTAGTCCTCGATGTATTATTTTATTGTCAATTAAGTCCTGAGCCAATTGATTTTAACAATTTTACCCTAAACTTAATGTAGACAACTTGAGAGTGTTTTGATTGCTATTAACACTGGACGGATAACGGGATGACATTGTCCAATGTATATTAGCTTTTGGTAAAAATAGATAAGAATAGTAATAAAATAGATTTAAGGATTAATTAAATAATAATAATATAGGGACTAAAGTAAAGTTTCGGCATACAAAGGGAGTAAGTGAGCGGGCTGTATAAAAAGGGAAGGAGATGAAGCAATGAAGCCGAGAAAACCTCTCCATTGTCTTCCCTCCCGGTGCTCCCTCCTCCGCCCCCCTCCCCCCTCCCCAGGGCCCCACCTCCCCCGAAAAGATTAAAATTATAAGCACTAGATCCATCCAATCCCTAAAATAAAAAATTGAAAAAAACCCTAAATCAAATGGAAATGGCACAACAAAATCAAGAAGAAGAAGAAGAATTGGTGGCGATAGTAGAATCTGTACCTGAATCCCTAGATCAATCCTCTTCTTCTTCTGGTCCTTCGCTTTCTCGTAACGTGTCCTTCAGTAAACTCAACGCACAAGCTCCAGCCTTTGTCCCCACGCGCCCCCAATCCCAGCCTCAGCCTCCACCACGAATGACCGTGATCCCTCCTCCTCCGCCTCCTCCCGCCTCTATGATGCATATGTATCCACCACCTTCCCCGTTTCATGTTCCGATTCATAGCCCTGTACATTTGCCTCACGTCATCCCCGTCCAAAACCACCACCACCACCACAACAGCCATAACCAGCTTCACAACCACCAGCAGCATCATAATCAGCACCAACAGTATGTTCCTGTTCGGAATCATAACCAGCATCATCAACAGCATAATTCTAAAAAGGTGCAGCAGTACTCTGACGAAGAGGTCGAGGTTATTGGAAATAAGGATGCAGCTGCTTCTTCGGATCATGCCTCAAAGAGTGACAGTAAAAGTGATGAAGCTATGAATAAACTCTTAAATCAGGTAGTTTTCAAGTTGTCGAATTTATTTTTCTTTCTTCAAATTTAGGGTTAGTACTTAAGTTCACTGATTTAATTAAGTTGAGCTTAGATTATATGAAAAGAAGTTTCAAGTTATTCTTATTGATTTTTGCAAATAATGGGGACTTAAGATGTAATTACTATGCTACTGGATATGGTAGAAGTTATGAATATTGTGCTTATTGTGAACATGAAAAGCAGAATCATCACGAACCTAGTTTACAATGTACTGGAGTAAAGCTCTATTCGGTATTGCATTTGGGCTGCTTTTGATGGTGTTTTTCGAAGTTCATTTGGGTTGTAAAAGCTTCTAATTGGATGCTTTTGGATGGTTTTGATATGTGAAAAGCACCCAAAAAAGCATCAGATCGATACATTCCTGCAAAAGCGCCTGACCCACATTACCAAACACGCACTAAGTGCTGCCAAATAATCTAGTAAGATTGTTGATGAATTGGGTTTGTTTGATAGTCACTAATAGATACATGGGGTAAATTGTTGCACTAGGAAGGAATAATGATAGAGGTAGTGGGCAGACAATAGGATGAATTGAAGTGTTAGAAACATGATTTAAGAAACCTATGGTTTCATGTTGAGTACTGTAAATAATTGTCTTTCTTTTTTGGTTTGGCATTCACTCACAACTGTTTGCAGGTGGAGTACTATTTCAGTGATTTGAACCTGGCCACTACTGATCATCTTATGAGGTTTATTACCAAAGATCCTGAAGGATATGGTAAGGGTTTTTTTTAACTTCTGCTGTTTAGTGCTTCTATATGGTATAGTTTCAGTGCAATGTTATAATTATCTACTTCTCACTCAATTATTTTTTAAAGTTGTGCCTGGTACTACTTTCTTTTGATTTTGATCTCTTTATAATGATTTGGAGAGTACGTCCTGTTTTTGAAAGTGTAGCTATGATGACAATTGGATAAACAACCCTTTGATAACCAGCTATGATAAGTTGTAAATGTAGCTATTTATTGAAGTTTGAATCAAGAAATAATGAAATTGTGGTTTTGTTGAAGTTTGTGAATTGTATCGATGCAGTTTGTCCATGCATCTCCAAAGAAGTTTTTTCCCCTCTTTTTTCTAAGTAACCAATAGAAACATAAAATTAAGCAAGGGTCTTATACTATTAGAAGCTACATTGTTTACCCAACTGTTATTTCAGAATTTTTGTCTGAATTGTTGTTATATCAATTATCCCATATCCATTTTAAGTCCTTGTTTGCTTTAATACAGTGCCAATATCTGTTGTTGCTTCATTTAAGAAGGTTAAAGCTGCCATAAACAGTAATTCTCAGCTTGCTAACATTCTGAGGAACTCAACAAAGCTTGTAAGCTCTTTCATCGACAATTCTCGTGATTGCTTTCATCATCCTTAATCCTATTTGTTGGTACAACTTCTTCCAGTTGTTTTTGTTGACCTCGCTGTAAGTACATCCTCCAGGTAGTTAGTGATGATGGAAAGAAAGTAAGGCGCCAGCATCCCCTAACTGATTCAGATGTTGAGGAGTTGCAAGTGTGTTTTCTTTTACCCACTATCTTTTGTTAGGTGGTAGCACCATTGTTGGCAATTCCTTTTGTCTTTGGCAGAATGCATGAAAGTTTGTATTTTGTTCTTTATTCATAGTTTAGAGAGAGAAAAGTTGTGTTTTTGTTTCTAACACTTTCCTTGATCTCTAGTCTCGTATAGTTGTTGCTGAAAATTTACCTGAGGATCATTGCCACCAAAACCTCATGAAGATATTTTCTGCTGTTGGGAGGTGCCGAGATCATTTCTGTTCATAATGATATTTAATTGGATGGTTTAGCCTTTCACTTAAAGCATGCCAGATATAATGTATTAATATTAGACATTTCATACTGTTAACCTTTCCTTTTTCAGTGTGAAGACAATTCGTACCTGTCCACCTCAAACTTCTGGTGGTGGTGCTTCTTCAGCATCTAGATCTGCAAAAGCTGATGGGATGCATTTCAGTAACAAGGTATATATGCATGCATGCCTAGGCATCAGTTATGTTTTGCATACCTGCAATCCTTATCAACATCATCATGCGTTTCTATCTCTTGGTGAGATAAAAAAATTAGTATTTGAGTTGCAAGACAATAAACAGAAAAGGTTAGAAAAAGATTTACATTAAAAAAGATGCGAAATGTAGCATGATTTGAAAACATTATAAATAAAAGCTATTAAAATAACCTAGAAAAAAAAAAAGACCAAGAGGAATTGCCACCTGGTATCTGGTCTTGCATGTTCGCTTATCTGTTGTTGCCAGCACAAAGTTATGGTTAGTATAACTATTAAGAATTAACCTATAAGCTTGTAGTTTTCTCAAGAGATGTATTACAGTATGGCCTACCTGCCAAAGGAAGATGCTTATGCTTTGCTCTGACTGTTAATGCTTTCTTTTTTTGTTTTCCATTCATCAATTCTTTTTAACAGATAGCTGGTTCTTTTAACCTTTTCTTGATTATTTTTGTCATCTAAACATGAAAATCATAAAATTTAAACTCCTTGTATTGTTTGCAGTTGCATGCATTTGTGGAATATGAGACCATTGAGATTGCTGAGAAAGCAGTAAGTAGTTTGTTTTTTTAATGATTTGTTTAGGTGTGCTTTCCCAACATCAATTTCTCACTGCACTAATCAAGTGCACATGCTATTATGTAGGTTGCTGAGCTAAACGATGAGGGAAACTGGAGGAGTGGTCTTAGGGTTCGGTTAATGCTCAAGCGTGGGGTATATACGAAAACATTGTCTTCATCTTTCTTCCTTTCATGTCTTTTTTTCTTCCTGCTCTGTATTTCTAAAGAATAATGCTAGAGATACCAACTTATGAGTTTCATCTCACCTTGATTTGATAAATCTTCGTATATGATAATACTAAATCAGTTAGGAAGCAAGTGCTAATAAAATAGTTCTTAAATGGAGCATTGCATGCTTGTGAATTCTAACCTGTGCAAATTTGGTTCTGAACCATTAAAGTTGATGAAATAACCTATTCAAATTTGGTTCTGAACCATTGAAGTCAATGAAAGTATGATGAAAGGTTTATGATTCATATTAAATAGATTGAGAGTGGGAGAATAATTACTGGAATAGCTAAGTATTCTAAAAGAGTGCATTGAAAATAGGAATGGGTGTCATACATGTAATACTCTGTACGCTACCTTGGTGGGTGTTAAAACCCTTGGGTCTCCATTTAATGGTATTGGCAGTTCAAATATCCTGTGTGGTAAAGGTTTTAAATTCACTCTTGTTTCCTCCAGCCCTGTCAACCAATCCCTACCCACTCTAGGATGACATGGTTTCATGAATCATGATGTGCACTTTTGGATGCAAGATAAAGTTCTGCCAATTTCAGTTAATGATTTGCAAGTTTTTAATTATATTTTTGGAGTTAGCTTAGTCCCTTGATTTGTGCTTGTTTATTCCATCATTAGTCAAAATCCACTCAGGCACGAGGCAAGAAGGGGCATGATGGTCAAGGGCATTCAGAGGAAGATGAGATTTCTGCAACTGAGCAAATGCCGAACGACAAACAGACAGAAGATCTGCCCCAGCAGCATGATGCCCATTCACTTGAGCATTCTGTGAGTGTTAGCAAAATTCCATTGAATGTGAACATGCATGATTTTGAAAATCATTTTCTACAGAAATATCATTTTGCTTGGCCAGTTTGGACTGACATGGTATAGGCTTTGTGTTATTGGACAATTAGAATCTGGACTTGTTTAATTTTGTTTTCTGTTTCACTACATATACCAAATAGAGTAGGAAGCTTGATTAATAATGGCAATAAAATTTATGATTAGGAAAAGAATTAGGGGGGTTGAATTGGTTTTTCTCGTGTCATCCCATGAGGTCAAAAAGAGGGGAGAAGACTGATTTGACAGGAAAAAGCTACCAGTCTCTGAGATAACAAAGGAATGTTTATGTTATGATGATACATGCATTATCCAACAGACTGCCAGCATCCTAGATTTTGTAATTTTTCTGCTGATGAAGAAATACATGAAAAACAATTGCTTTCATTTTCAAGTCTTTGAAAGCATACTTATTTTATTGTCTCACAAAATGACATTTTCAGCACTTGGTGAACTGACATCCTTGTACTTTAGCAGGGAGAGGATCATGCCAATGACAAGGAAGGTGCGCAGAGAAAAGGGCGTAACCGGGGGAGGGGCAAGGGACGTGGGCGAGGACAATACCATCATAACAGCCATCACAATAACCGTGGAAATCATCTGGGAACTTCCCCTTCAAATAATCCGGTTATTGGTGAGCATCCAGCAATGGCCAAGCAACCTCCAGGGCCACGGATGCCAGATGGCACAAGAGGATTTGCAATGGGTCGAGGGAAGCCGGCTGCTGTTAATATCTCATGACTTGGTATTTCTACAGAGTTCAGTTTTGGTTCTAATAGATGTGTTTGTAAGTTTATTTTGGGGGTGGGGGGAAGTGGGTGGTCTTCTATGTATGGTGTAGATGGCAGGGGTTTTAGAAAGGCTTGTCCATCTGTAGTAGTAGCTTGTTCAGGATCAAGGGTTAATTTTGCTACAAGGGTCTGGTATTTCTTTCATGTTGGTGTCTTGCATGTGGGCATGGATGCTCGAAAAACAGTTTTTCTTGTTTTCCTTTCGTTAAATTTTAGCTTTGCATGATGTCGAAGTGAAAAGGAACAAAACCCTTGTTGGGGGGAGTAACTAATTCTTATAGATAAATGCGAAACTCGAAATATCAAACAAAACTGTGCTATCAGTACCTGTTCTCCCTCTTCCTTCCATCTCTTTCCGATGACTCTAGGCAAATTATTTGAACCAGGAACTGAACTGTGCTTTGCACGAGGTAGCCTGGAGGAGGCTTATTAGTGGGGCGGTGTTTTACCCTACCATTTTCCTTGCGAAGGAGGAGACTGAGGAGACTGGAAAGGCTGTCAGAACCAAGCTAACTAAAGCATGTCAAGGGTAAGCTTCGAAAATCCAGAGCAATCACGTGCGTGATATCTGATGGAGAGCAGAACACAGTGGTTGGTTGAAGTCAGCAAGAATACCCACTTCTTCATGAACACCTATCAAAATGACCATTGCATTCGCTTCATGAAAAAGCACGAAGGAAGGCAACAAGCTCAGAATGCTTGCAGAATTTGGTTTTAAAATAGAATAAGGTCGTAGGTTCGAAACCTGAATGGGCCATTCAGTTATTTTATCGATAGCTTTTTGGGTAATCTAAGCTACATTTTATTTTTCCAACACCATTGTTTAAATTTTCAAAGAGTTTAGACTAATAACATTAATCAATTAAAAGAAAGAAAGTAAGAGGGGTAGTGATTTTCACTGTGGCAATTTTATTATAGCTCTGGATTTATTGATACTTTGGATTTAAATAATAAATTTATGATTTTGTCCCTCTCAACGAAAACACAATTGACATTTGCAATGCGGATAGTGGTTTTTTTGTTAATTTATATATAATAAAATGATTAATATACCCTTTGAAGCAATAGTAATAATAATAATAACGCACAGACAAACATGATATTTTGACTTTTATTTCCAAAGTATAGTAAAATGATCACAATGCCTTTGACTTTTAATATTCTTTAACTATAATTAGTTTTTTTTTATTATATATCTTTTTTATTTTAATTTTTATGTTATTACCATGTCTAATTATGAGCAATTTAGTTTTTTTAGCATTAAAAGGAGGGTTGTATACGTAGACGATAATGTGTATAGGAACCTTTGTGTTTTTCTGATTATGCATGTAACATTGTCCAACTTCTCCTTTATGATAAATTTTTAATCCTCATGATATTATCTTCATTTCTAGCGACACATGCAGCCAAAAAATATTGGGTTTTGGGTTAATAATTTTTTTTTCCTTTCTCTTTCTTGATTTTTAGTATCTTCCTTGCATGTTTTCAAAGCAAACCTTTGATTTGTTTTTCTTTTAATTTAGTTTCTAATTTTTTTATTATTATTTGTTTTATTTTAAATAATTCATAGAATTAGAATTCTTTTTCAATTTGTTTTAATCCTCCTCTTACTTTCTTTTACCTTTTAAATTTGGTATCATTCTTTTAATTGTTATTTTTTAATCATTCTTTTAATTGAATTATCTTTCCAATTCCACCCCTTAAATTTTTATATCATTTTCTTCATTGAATTATTTTTTCAATTGCATCCCTTAATATTTTATTTCATTTTAATTTATGTTAGATTTAATTTTTATTTTTTTAATTGCTATTATTTTAGTTTTTAATTTTTTTTATTGGAATTGTCCTTTTCGATTTCATCCCTTAATATTTTATAAATTGAAGAGAATTTGACTTCATACTTTTTTCATATTTGTCTTCAATGGAATGATTTTGGTCTTAAAACTCGAGTCACGAGTTTAAAAAATTGAATTGGGCTAACTTATTTATTTTCAGATCCTTTTTTATAATTAAGTTTTTACAACTTAATCATTCTATAGTGTTATCTTATTTTTAGTCGGATCATGAATTTTCCATGTTGATTTAACTTGACGCGTACTATTTTTTTTTAAAAATTATATATTATTGTTATTATAGTCTATTTTTATTATACTAAATTTAATTAAGATTGTTGAATCCAATAAAACCAATATTCTGACTTTTAGATTTCTTACTTTTTTAAAAAAATATATTATAATCACCTAAACATTTTATTTCATGTTAAAAAAAATGATTTGATCTATTTTTTTTTATATAGATCACCAATCTAGTTTGGGTAGATCATCAATTTAGTTGTTTCTACATTTCATCTTGAATTTGCTTTTAAAAAAATAGGAAATGTCATTTTATTTTCTAATAAAAAATAGGTAGATAATTTAATTTTAATTTTAATTTCTAATAAAATATAGAGATTATTATGTTAGCGATAGTGTCCTTATTTATAACAAACTAAAATTTTTGTTGCCTCATAATTTTGGTATAATTAATTTTTTTCTTTTTATGAATTAATTATTTTATCTCAATATAAAAAATATAAATAATAAAAATATATTTAGTAGTAAGGATTGAGATAAAAAAAATATTTTCAATTTTATTTTTGCAAAGAATATATCCTTTATATAACTATATATTATATTAAGTATTGTTAATTTATCTAACAACTAATGATTGCATATTAGAATCTTTTAAACAATCCAATTTTACTGAAAAGATTTAAACTATACCAAGAAAATCTCAACATTACTTATAATATGTTTAATTTAGAGATATAATGTTTAATTTAGAGATATAATGGTTTTTTTTACCAAAGATACAACATATTTTCAACACAAATTATATTTTTAAAAGTTATAAAAACATATTTTTTATTAAAAAGAAAACACAAACAATCTCCCATTTAAACACCACTTTAATCATGGAGATCAACTGAGTTCATACAAAAAAAATTTCAATTTTTTATTGATCTCCCAAAATCAAATCAAAATCCACAAGCTTTCCCATCTAAATTTCCGCCTTAAAAATCCAAAAATTCCCGCAGCGATTTCGTGTTCTCTCACTCTCTCCTAAAAAAAAAAGTGGGAGAGAATCAAATATCAATCACCCTAACCACCACCACCACAATGGCTGAATCCTT